GCTCGTTCCAACATACACGCACACACGCACGCGTAAAGAGAAGAAGCGAGTAGACGCGAGCGTGTAAGCGTGCTAGCGTTTTACGCCACGGGCGGCTGCCTCGTTGCGAAGATGCAACAAACCAGCTGACTGACAACACTACTTACTAGGTAAACACGAAACTGGTTCCTAGGCGTACGAGCCGCAGTTAATTTATCAAGCGGTTTCTCTCACTCTTCGAGGCTTCCCTCCCCCGCCGACCGGTTTTCTTACCTACGCCGGGGTTGTCGGTGCTTAATGGGCGACGAGCAGCCTCGTGTTCTTTCGCATTCGACCGGACAACCCCTGTGATTTGTTGTCTATGGGCCCCGCCGCTGATTTGTACACGCGTCCTCCGCTTCCGGTACACAAAGCGGCGACAGGAGGGTGGGAGGGTGGGAGGGAGGGAGGGGCAGGTCTTTCTGGTTGGAAGTTTGTTTGAAGAAAATTCCGCGAGTAGAGAAGTCGTGGCTTGAATTTTATTCAAACGTTCTCGGGAAGCTGCTGAGGAAGAGGTGATTGAAGGACGTGTTGCGAGTTCCGTTAGACAGGCATTCTGCCAGGTTTTTAGGTTAGAAATCGGGAGAATATTCGAGATATTCTAATATTATTTTATGTTACACGTGTCGCGTATTCGTGTATACGAAGGATAAATATTATGAAACGCAAAGTGGAAATGTCAGAAGAAGAAGAACAGGAGCAGCTGGCAAGATGTTTTTGCACCGATTTAATTATCGACGATAACAACGACACGGTGTTAACGCGTCGTCGTACTTCCACGTTGAACTTTCTAAACGATAATGCTTAAAAATCAGTCAGCGATGCTGACTAAAAATATTAACGCTTATCCTTGTACCTCGTACCCGTGAACGCGATCTAGAATCATTAACACCTGCCTCTAGAGTTGCCCTCTCGCGCGATCCAGAAACTTTAACACGTTCTAACACGTAGTTTCCACACCCAACGAATGTAAACACGTATCAATACTCGACTCAGCGTGAATGAACTGAGAACACGGCCAGAAAAAGTTGTCTGGCTTCTTCTTCGAAATCGGAACTCTAGTTTCTTAATGGTTAAGACGTTCTTCTGCCCTCTGTTTACCACAGTACAGAATAAAAATATTTATACCGGAAAATTTGCCACGGTCTCGCTACTTTTCAATCGAGATTCTTTTTTTTTTTTTTATCTATGGGGTAGTTCGGAAGATCAAGAACATGAACCTCCAGCGCCATCTATTTCACGACCTTCGAACTATAAACCTAGAACTTCAAAAAAAGAAAAACACATCACGAATGTCTTCTCTCAATTTCGAAGTCGTCCGAATGTCAAACTGATCAACTTCGCTGCTCGCGTGCATATTCGACGCTTGATTTCTCGATTTGTTTCGACGAAGTTGATTGGTCTGTCTTCCGCAAGGCCTTCGGATTCTCCGAATTGACACATCACGTGCCGCCTCTCAACTCGGAGCCTCTTGAAAATTGAAGCTCTTCCTACGCTTCTTAGGCATCAATATCTGCAATCTACAACGTACTCTCTCTCTCTCTCTCTC